AAATTCAATGTATATATAGAGGAAAGAGAGAAAGACGGACTGAGCTAATTATCAACTATGAACCTACAATTATTTTATGGACATCATGCATAATACAAAGTTCAATCAGGACAGCCTATTTTTCCACAAAAGACTTCCAAAAATTCTGCTAGCTTCACCTTGCAGACTTTTTATTATGGCACTAAACTTCAAAACCCCCCATCTTTTCCTAGGAAACCCAGAAATAACAGTCAGTGGCAACATGCTGCAAGAAATTCTGACTAATAGGACAATCAAACAGTTGCTAATTCAAGCCCTAACACACCTATCTTTATGGTAAAATGAGTTAATAAATGCAGTGAAATAAAAAAAAAAGTGACTGCTTCTGCACTCCAGATACATTATTTGAACCCCAGAATATTCAATGCAACAAGACTTTTTATTTTTAGTTGATGGTGACATCCATACACAATCTTTTTATTAGCTATACTTATTGGTTTATATGTAAAATCCCAGCACACATCAAATGCATGGAGAATAGGCAGTGATCTATCAACAGAGTGATTTTTCACCACATATACAAAAAAAAATCAAAAGGAAAATGTAGCTGCAGATGATAGCACATTCACCAAACGTCACTAATAGTTGTCCTTCAGTGGCAAACAGTGCTGTCTGTACTGCTCACCCTATTTATCAACCAATGAATGTGACATTCACTGCATTTTTGAAAATCTACTTAGCACTGTCAATAAAGCTCAAATCTGTGTTTTAATGATTCGGAAGTGCAAAAACTGTGGAAAATATTGCCAATTTGAGAGAGACGTTGCCCTGGTATCCCTAACTTCTGCACACAATTCAATAAACTTCACTATATAATACACTATTCACAAACTACAATATTGCTTTAAACTGAACCACAACTGCTATGTATGCATCAACTTTGTTTTAATAATAGGCACATGAATTAAATAACTATATCATGAACCTTTATATAACAACTGACATGTAAAATATTCCGTCATAAGATGTAAAAAGAACATTTGAAATAGGTAAAAGAAAATAAGGTGGAAAATAATTTAAAAATTGAAGTTAAAAAAAAGTAGAAATAGGTAAAAGAAAATAAGGTGGAACATAATTTAAATATATTAAATGCCCAAACTAATTCAGAGCAAAGATTAACAGAAATATTAATAAGCGGTCTTATATGTTGGTAACCCAAAGCTTATCCAATACATATTTCTAGAGAGAAATGTGCATGTATTCAGTAGATTTATATAAAAAGAAAAGTGACCGTTACAAAGGACAGACATTTACAGCATTTAAAGTTCAATGTCTTTAAATCTTTAAATTAAAACAAGAAAAATATACATAAAAACATATAATAAAAACATATATAATAAATCACTGAAATAAAATTGAACATAGCTAATTCTTTGTTTAAATAATATGTCTGCAGATCGCATAAACAACCATTAAAGAAGTCAGATAATAAACTTTTGCTTTGTAAGTCTTTTTTTTTAATGGGAGTTGATACTGAATTATTTAAGGAAGAAGCTATCTTTGGCAGTAACACCTCCATGAGGTAAACAGGATAAGGATCTGTCAAATGCAGCTTTACTGTTTAATGTGCAACTAGCTTAATGGAGAGGGTTGTGTAAAGAATCTGCAATGTTCTTTCCTGTATTTATTTATAACTTGGGACAGAGTAGGGAATAGTTAAGACCCCTGTCAGTTTTTTTCTTTTTTGGTCTATGTCCCATTAGGGAGGTTAGGTTGCCCTTTGTGTCCTGTCCAGGCACACATCAGGCAGCAATATAGTACGAGATCTATCTAATTTCCTGTTCACACCTAGGCATTTCATGAACACACGCCAAACGTGCGCTTGGTCACAGAACACGTCAAAACCATGCAAATCCCACCTCAACCTAACCACTCAACCATCACGTTCTCAAACAATTCAGCCCCATACAGCTACCTCCTCATGTATCACTTCCCCCTCCCTTTTAAATCATAAGCCCTCAGGGGCAGGGCCCTCCTTACTAATTGTAATGTCTTCCTTATATTGTAAAGCGCTGTGCAAACTGTTGGCGCTATACAAATCCTGTATAATAATAATAATGCAAAGCGTTTGCAGTGCCATTACTAGTTAATGGTACCCCAAATGTGGCAAGCCAAAGGCGTGGAAGATTTTGCAGCATGAGCTACTTTCCAGTGTTTGTCACGCGTGCAGGAGCCCATTGAAATCACTGGACGACGTGCGGGAAACATAGGCATGTGAACAAACATGAGCATGACGCGTGTTCCTGCTATGCTCAGGTGTGAACGGGGACTAAGCACAGTGATAGCACAGGCGTCTCATTATCTACTGTACCTGTGACAACTCAAACATTTTGGATTTTCTATCACGTCCTATACTGGAGATAACTGTCACCAGGACCAATATAGAGAGCTGGTGAATCTTCCCGCAGGGACACAAACGGCAATAAAAACCAGACAGAGATTCTAATCGTTTTCACATTCTACCCAACGCTAACAAAAACATTTTGGCTCTTGCAGTAAATAAAACAGCAAAAGGCAATTTCAAACAATTTTAAAAAGCCTAATAAAGATAAAAATTGAAATATTTGTTTTTTATGACGATTTCCCCACTGTGAAATAGTGAGGAGGCTGGAGGAGGAGGTTCACCTGTGTGCAAGCTCCAGAGTCCTGGTAGGTGAACTCGTATGGGGATCCAAACGGCCTCTTTGCAACTGTGCTTCCGGGGAGAGGGCTGATTTTTTTACAAGTATAAAACTAAAAGAAAAGACAAAAAAGCCAAATGGATTGCAATTATGCAGCCCTGTGAAACAGATCAGAATTGACAGAATGTTGGTGAATCACATTTTTACTTTTTCTCTAGTATATGAGTAATAATATCAAATGTTGCTGTTAATCAGCTGTAAAGTTTTTTTCTGGGTTTATTTTTCCATTCACATTAAAGGCAATGTTTGCAAAGTGTGCTCAAACATGCGCTTGTAACGCTTGGACAAGCAGTGATGTCCCTTACAAAATGTATTTGAATGGCTTAGAACAGCCAAAAATATATGTCTATAGACACAACACTGCACCTTGATGTTTGTGAAAAGCACAAATAACGTGCAAACATGAGCAGGAATGCCGCTCAGTTTATAGCCTAGTCATTAGCTTAAAAAAATAAATAAAAAATGGGCTTCACGATCAAAAAATATTGCATGACAAAAATACAATGTTTAATAAAAATTTTAAAAAAATACATCTTGTGAGCAAAACATATGGAACTATTTTAAGTTATTTTTTTTATTTTATTCCTAATATCCAGCCTAGAGAAATATGTTTTTAATTTAAGAGCTTTATATAGATAACAAGTGTTAATGTTTCATATTTTTTTCTTTTATTTACTAAAGAAGTAGTGAATAAAATAAAGCTGTTTACCCTTCAATCATCCATTGATATGCAAGCAAAAAAAATGTATTTTTTAATTTCCCTTGCACATATTTTAAGTAAAATAATTTCACTTTGTAAAGTGTACATGCCCTGCTCATTTAGGAAGTCGGTGCAAAGTCACCTTTTTTTAGGGGCCCCAGCTATAAATTTTCTGTTGTTCCGCGGACTTTAAAAACAATTTGGTGCTGAGCAACTAAACTGTAAAAGTTAACCTGTGTTCCCTTCATAAGTTCAAAAATACATGCAGTGGGGTGAGATCCTTCTGCACACAACTGGATGGTTGACATGAACAATTCACCTTACATCACTCTTCAGTTACATTAAGCCTGTGCAGAATATCTGCCACAAAAGGTAATATGAGAACCCCAGTATCTAATTTTAAAGCTCTCCTTGAGGTTATTACGCAATAGGATGAGCACTCCTGAATGTGAGTATCATTTCTAATAAAAAATATTTAGCAGTAAATGGTACATTACATGGCAGTAATAAATCAAAGCGTTTACCTCTTTCTCACAGTTTGTGCTAAGAGTCAGCATAGCCATTGGGCTGTTGGGTGCACTGTTCCCTGGTGGCATCATGTGGTCTCCTTGCTGGTTCGGACAGGGCAAGCTTAGTGCTTTGTTGGGATGCTTGGTGGTGGTCAGGTATTGTTGCACCTGCTGTTTCTGAGCCTGCTGGATATGGTACTTGGTTGGATTTTCAAGGTGGGTCTGCACCTGACAAATAAAGTCAAACATCATTAGCTTTCTACTACAATGGCTTATTTTTTTGTCCTACAATTTTCCTTATTTTAATTATATATATACACACACACACACACACACACA